CGTTGCTCAGCTCACTTCACTATGGCTCGGTTATTCACTCAGTTGCCTTCGGCAGCTTTGTGAACAACTCTGTAAATAAAAAAAAATAGGGTATATATACATTTTAAAGTATTTTTGTATGACACATTCTTAAATAAATGTCCTTTTATATTTTACAGAGATTAGACATTAGAGGGACCTTTTTGTTGCTTGAATCAATTGCTTTGTCTCTATTTTAAAGGAAATTCCGACTTCACTTCGACATGCTCAGTGGCACAGAAAGTATTTTAGTTGTATTAATAGCCAAAACAACAGGTTTCCTTTTATCAATTTGTGGGATAAAACATAGGGAGTCGTTGTTTTCATTAAGTCAACCAACTTGTAGACCTAATTATTAGTAGCTTCCACTTGGTATTTACTTAGCTAGTGTATTTAAACACATTTGTTTTTTTTTTCTTTTCTGACTTCCAGTGCTCCTGAAAGCCATCTGCATTTGGCAGTGGTCATGGCTTATAAAGCAGACAGCAGGTTTATTTAGGTAAATTGTGGGTTGGGAGGCCAGATGAAAATCTAGAAGTCTGCAGAAGCCCAGTTTCTACCTTTTTATCAGTATCTCTTTGTGGTGCTGATTTTTTAATTTCTGTGGATTTGATTAGCATAGGACGTGTTTTTTTGTAAATGCTAAATGTTTGAAGACAACTTTTATGAAAACGATTGAATTCTGGTAATTGTATGGGATTAATACCTGCAGTGATAGTGTTTATATGCAGACCAAGCTGTCCAACAAAAGTGGCAGGTTCAGGGGTTGGGTTAAATCAGATACCACTGCCTGCGGTGTCTACAAAGGTGCCTACAATGGTGCCTACAACGGTGCCTACAACGGTTAAAAAATGCTGCTGAAAAATTATTATCTGGAGCTAGGCTTGAATTAGTTTGTCTCTTAATTACTTTACTTAAAACTATACTCTTAAGACTACCCTGTCCACAGGATGAGGCCACCACTGCGCAATTTCACTGCAGAAAAATCAGCGTTGTCACCCTATTAGTGGTGGGTGATAAAATTGACAAGTAATACAACTATGTTACAGGTTGGCTTACAAAAGTTGTGTTAATGCTTTTGACAAACTGCGCCATATATGTAATTTTTTTATTTTGGCTATAGCTTCACTTTACTCTTTTACAATGTACAGTGCTGATTGGAAAAAAGGCAGATTTAATTTAAAAAATACACAATAATGGTAAATTGAAAACTTTGATTTAGAATGCCATAACCATGACACAGGTAACCAATAGGATTGTAGAATGTGTAGCTCAGTGCACAATCTTTACTGGCAATGTTCCTACACAAATGATTGTGATTATGTGCTATAAGGGGTTCATTTATATATTAATTTACTCATCAGCGTCATGTGAGAGTACTAGTGCTGTGTGAATGAAATCCAGCCGGTTATACACCGGGTGGATCTTTTATAATTGAACCCCTAGGTGTATTTCCAACAATTGTTTAGACCATGGACAATACCAAAAGATATTAACTGGTTCTCAAATACAATCACAGAGACAATATTGAAATTGATGTGGATGTATTGCCTTTTATGAAAATAGTAGAATATACTGTATTTATTGTACTACACATGACACAATAAAGCTATTATTATGTTACAAAACTTACCACCATGCGTTTTCTCCCTTTACATGAAATTAAGTTAATTTTTGACACTGTAGGCTCAACTTACAAAGCTTTAATGCTTGATAAGCATAACATGTGTCTGTAAATTTAAAATTTCATTGGACTTAAAATAAGTGTGTAGTAAGTGTTTTTGTAAAATAAGTATTCTTATCCTGGTGTGTTAGCTTTATGAATTGAGCATTTTATCTTTATTAGTTTTACAGCTGCTGGTATCACAACAACTAGTAGAAGCGCAATCATGCTTCTAGCGAAAGAATCATCTCCTGTGACTAGATCTAATATTTCCCCATTGCAGGTACACCAGCATCAGCCTAAAAATAGAATTATTGCCACTGGGTACAGTAGATGTTAATGTGTTATGGCATTTTTTTGGAAGACTACTTGAGATGCCACCTTGCTGGGTATTCAGGTCAACAAGCAAAGTAAGGTCTGACAGGCTCTTGTGTTTCTTCTAAACACAATTCTGTTCCTTACAGCTACAAATGTCAGATGTGTCTGATGTGTCTGAAAGGAGGGTGAAGGTGATCTTGCCACCTTTTCTGTGCTAAGCAAACACCAGTCACTAAGGCTGAAATGTAATTGAGTTCTGTCTTGCCATATTGCACAGAGATTGTGAAGACTACACCATTACTGTCCATGTGATATATTAAGTACATCCTAAAATAATTATACATAAACATAACAAATGTACACTGTTTCCAAATATAACTAGACAAGTTTTACTATTCTACTAAAATGTATAATGTAATTTGGCTCATTATAAGTATTCCTTGCCAAGAATGCTCAGTTTTAACAGATCTAACATGTTTTTTTTTCTTTGAGAATTTTGAAAAGTAAAATCTCCGAGTATAGGTAACTTTAAACACCACATGTTCACATTCTGTAATGATACAAACCTATAGGCTTATTTAATCAATGTTTAGCTTTGCATTATATGTTTGTGCATGTTGCAGGGACGTTTTGTACTTGGGTAAACCCAAAATCCTGCTGTAGAGTAGTAAAGCAAACATTAGAGAGCTTTTAAGAACTATCAATTTCTTGTTTATAGCATTTAAAGGCGGCTTCAATTTCTCATGAACTCACAGCTATATGTTAGAGAAGCAATGATATAGAAAGTTGAGGTGCATGTATGGGGACTGCTTTACCTGTTAATGGCTTTGTAATTCTAAACAGCCAGTGCTCTGTGCCACTTTACCCTGTTAGGCAGAACAACCAGCTCCTCTGCAGCAGCATGATCAAGAACACACCCCAATGTACTGATTGAACAATAAAGGAGCAGCAGCACAGCAAGAATTCATTGTTCCTCCTTTGTCCCCCTGTCAACAGGTTCACTGTTCAATTCTGGGTATTGCTGGGCAAGGAATGAATTCAGGCTGATATCAGGACAAATTGTCATAATAATATTTGCATTTAACAACACATCTTATGTTTTCCGATGCATAACATAACTACATAATTTTTTTCTACGTCTGCCTAGGGTTAGACTTTAAACGGTAATTCCACTTTCCCAGGCGAATTTGGGAAAATGGAATTACCACCACCAATATGCCCAACGAGTGCTCGAAAATGGCGAGCACTCATTAGTCAGTGCAGTCACCTGACCACACTGACCAATGAGTGCTCACCATTTGCGAGCAGAATTTGAAACACCAAGTGCAGGGCATCGCTGCTGTGTACAGGGTACAGATAGTACACTGGCAGCCGTGGATGGGAAGGAGAGTTTTGGTTAAAGGTAAGAGCAGCAGCGTGGCGTGGGGCGATTGGTGCAGGTTGGTGGTGGTAATTCCACTTTCCCAAATTCATCTGGGAAAGTGGAAATCCTCTTTAAAGGTCATACTCTGCTAGAATTTCATTGGAACATTCATTCAACATTGTTTGTCAATCTAAGCGGGCATTTCTACACTGACCAAAAATGTGAGAGGGCTTTACACTGGTCACCAAAATGGCGAGCACTCATTAGTCAGTGCAGTCACCTGACCACACTGACCAATGAGTGCTCACCATTTGCGAGCAGAATTTGAAACACCAAGTGCAGGGCATCGCTGCTGTGTACAGGGTACAGATAGTACACTGGCAGCCGTGGATGGGAAGGAGAGTTTTGGTTAAAGGTAAGAGCAGCAGCGTGGCGTGGGGCGATTGGTGCAGGTTGGTGGTGGTAATTCCACTTTCCCAAATTCATCTGGAAATCCCCTTTAAAGGTCATACTCTGCTAGAATTTCATTGGAACATTCATTCAACATTGTTTGTCAATGTAAGCGGGCATTTCTACACTGACCAAATATGTGAGAGGGCTTTACACTGGTCACCAGTGCAAAGGGATCACTTCTCTACTGATCACCATTGTAAGTGGGCAGTGCACTGACCCCTAATGTAAGAGGGCAACCAATGACCACCAATGTAAAATGGCACTTCACTTACCACCAATGTGACAGGAACCTCTCCAATGACCACTAATGAAAGGGGCAGTACACTAAAACAACAATAAAAGTGGAGCATTTCAATCACTACCACTGTAAGGGGGAACTTCTTACCTAACCATTTCTGTAATCGTTTAATTATTTGGGACATAAAGTAAAGAGGTGACAGGTTTTCTCTACTAGAGCCACATTAACTGATTTTTATGAAGTTTACCTGCAGTTGTAAATACATCAGTCATTGGTAAAGTATGGTCCGAGTTGCTGTATATTCAATATACTGGCAAGATCACTCTCTTGTGAAACCTACAGTTAGGTGCAGATGACTTGCCTGATTTGTTTGTCCACAGTTTGAGTTCTAGAGGATACTACTAAGCCTGGGTCTCATCTCTAGTGTGCTGTTTTCACCCTTGAGATGTGTTGCTTGTATTTGTTTCTGACATTTTTTAATGTGTGTATGATCAGCATAATTTATATACTCTTATAATAAAAAATAAATAAAAAAAAGTGCTTCCATTTCATTTCTGACCATAAATATATATAGCAGACATTTTTGCCTGTTACATAAAGCAGTTGTGTTTCCTGTTTAGTAATGCAGTGCAATGTGGTGATTACTGTTCTTTTCTCTTTCAGTGCAAACCTGCAGGTCAGTTCAGATTGTATACAAACAATACTTAAATGGCTTGTCCTGCAATTTGTTTTATTTTGTTAAGGGTGCTAATCTTCAGAAATAAAAGTTATCGCCGTTGTATGAATATAGTCCTTGATGTTAATGCCGTCCTTTTACTTTTATGTAAAGCTATATTATAGTGAAAGTACAGGAAGACTATAATTTGTTAAAATATAAAGAGTTAGTTTTTTGTTATAAAGTAAATATGTTTTACTGATGATCCAAATGTAATTTTTTTTCATCGTAGGAAGCAGAGATTCTGAACACTGCTATTCTCACTGGGAAAACGGTAGCAGTCCCTGTTAAGACTGTCAGTGTAGACAGCAGCAGCTCAGTGACCGATATTTCTGATGCAGTGGAATGCAAATCATCTGATGAAGATGTCCTAAAGGTAAGATTCCTAACTGGATATAAAAGTTTCTGATGACTTTGCATGTTGTCTTTAACTTAGAAATAATAAATGCATATTCTTTATTGATTATTTATTTCTCAACATGGACTTGTGTGGATAAAAATAAATATGAGGATAATGTTGGAAAATAAAAGTGAATACAGCTAAATTCATTGCTAAATGATTTTTAAACACTTGAGTCCTTGGGCCCAAAGGATTTTCTTTTCTTCCAGTGATATCTTGGGTTCCCGCATTATATGTTTTAACATTTGTAATGTGGGAAGACAGACAGAGCTTTTATTCTGTAGCAGATTTGGATACATATATTTTTATTTCCTTGGTGTATATTGGGAATAAATGGTATAAAATGAAACATTTTCCTGTAAGTTTTACCACGTGCAACATTTGTGTACTTTGCGCATCCCCACATATTTACTCCAAAATATGATCAGCAAGGTCTGCCGAATAAAATATCACATTAGTTTAACTTTAATATAAAGGAGCAGGAAGGTAATGCTCAAAGTGAACATATGCATTAGGAGAGCTTTATTCCCCTTTAGACACACAGAAAGTAATGGTATTGCATAAATTGTTAATGTAACATTAGATTGACAAGAGCACAAATTAGTACAATGGTGACAATTTTACAGGTTTGCAGTTGCTAAAGATTCGAATGACATTGTGTTAACTAACATGAGCATTTGACACTTGCGCAATAAACGTCATCTAGATCAGGCCTTCTTAAACTTTCTCCACTCTTGACCCCTTTTTGGCCGAGGAAATTTTTAAGGGACCCCAACGTCGGTCGGTGTCTCCCCTCTCCCCTAGCGCAAGTCGGTGTGTGCCCCCCCCAGCGTCGGTCAGTCAGTACTACTAAGCCCCAGTCCCCTCCCTACCTTTACATCCAGGAGCTGTGCTCCACTGCTGCTGAATTAAAGAAAGTTCAGTCAATGTAAAAAAAAAAAAATAATCTTCCTGCGCACACGTGCTCAGGAAGGTACCAAGTGCACAGGGGGTACCGCGGCCTTAAAAACTACACTACACTGCAAATAATACAGTAAACTGAAATAAAACAATCTGGCTTGGATCCCAGACCTCCTCGGCAGCCTAAGCCCCTCACACAAGTACCGGCCATACCCCCCTGATGGCGGTCCTGGCCGGGGACTCGGATCGCGACCCCCCTGTTCACTTGCGGGACCCCACATGGGGTCGCGACCCACACTTTAAGAAGCACTGATCTAGATCATACCTGTAAAAAATAAGTCAAGGCATTTGGACTTACTGTATTTTTCTTGAAGACACTTCACTGGTCATCCAACCAGCTTTCTCAATTCAGAATGACTTATACAAAAAAATATCTGGGAATAAATATGGTGCATGTTGCTCCAATCCACATAATTTGTTAGTCACAACCAGGCGTTGATTGCATTTGCATAATTGGAGTCTAGGAGGTGTTATTAACCTGCCCAGAGAGAGGTGTTAAAACAGCATGGTATGTGGTAGACAATAGATAACCCCACCCCCACACACACACACACCTCTATTCAAGCTTGGTGTCTCCATTTCTACATAAATGGCCACTTTCACACCTCTTTTAAACTAGTCCTCCTCCCTGTCCAGGATGTGTACTTGACTGTCTTTAGCCGAATCTTGGCCAGAAGGTTTTGCTCTTCTATGCTGTGCCATACGCTTGTGTATCTGCTGTTTTGTTTCACCTACATACAATGTGAGCACTCCTCACTAGACTGAACTGCATACACAATGTTGTTCATTTTGTGTTTTGGTGTTGGGTCTTTTGGTGAACCAGTTGTTATTAACCTGTCCAGAGAGAGGTGTTAAAACAGCATTGCATGTGGCAGACAACACATACAATTATTTTTGAACACCTCTCTCTGAGCAGGTTAATAACACCTCCTAGACTCCAATTATGCAGATACAATCACCACCTGGTTGTGACTAACAGATAATGTGGATTGGTGCAACATTCACCATATTTATTCCCAAAAACTTTTTGTACAAGTCATTCTGAATTGAGAAAGCTGGTTGGATGACCATGCCCCCACCAGCTTGAAGGGTTGTACTCATGCATGTGGGGTGCATGCTTTCATGCTGTTCCCGCCAAATTCTCACTCTGCCATCTGTATGATGCAACTGAAAACATGATTCATTGGACCACATGACTTTTTTCCAATGCTTGACTGTCCAATCCTTGTGTTCCTGTGCGGATTGGAGACGTTTTATCTTGTTAGCTGCAGACAGCAAAGATGTTTGAACAGGCCTTTGGCTTCCATATCCCATACGATGCAGTGTACGGTGAACACTTGATCATTTGAGAGGATCCCTGATTAAGATCTGCAGTAATTTGATGCACTGTTGCCCTTCTGTGGTCTTGTACCAGTCTTGCCACTCTCCGTTCTGCCCTAACATTGACTAGTCGCTGACGGCCTTATATATATAATTTACATATTATAGCATATAATATATTTATTTATCTATTTTTTCACAAAATCCAGACCTTAAAAGGGGATCTGGATCTGGCCAGTGGAGACCCAATCCAGACCCCCCATGCCACTCTGCAGCAATAGATCACTTCCAATAGTGATCTATTGCTGGCTGCCAGAAGTTCCAGCACCAGTGCCTCCAGTTACAACACCACATCAGCTTTTAAGTTCTGGTTTCAATTTTAAGCTGTACAGGGACAAATAACCACTGTCCCTGTGCTGTTTTAAAATGCACCCAAGACTCAAGTGGTTAAACAAACTGACTGTAACTCAAGCATACTTTAAAATAGCATTTTAGAAAATGGTTATAAACAAATAATTAGAATGTTGGTTACCCTGAAAGCAAGCTCATTTTAACTCAAATATGTGTTTTAGTGTTTTTGCCGTTTTAACTTATCTGGCTGAATGTAATAGGTACTTCGCTCAGACAAAGAGAAAAAAAATTTAAATTGCTTAAACTTGTTTTTTGCTATCTGGCAGAAAATAGCTAATTTAGTTCACATCCCAAAGCAGGAGGAAACTCTACACCCAGTCCACTGAGTCACATAAGAAAAATACTTGAAAATTACTTTACCAAAGTCATTAAAATTACCAATACTGGTTGATGAGGGTATAGGTGTAGTAATTATTATACACAGCTAACACATTGCAAAGCTAGGCAGGTGATACATGTATTTCCTTGTTCAGCAAAGAAGCTTCCTCACATGCCTGTGGTTTGTTTATTGGACAGTGAATACGTGTAATTTGTCTAATTAACAAGGAGGTGATGCAAAAAGCAATACCCCTGAACCTGGAAGTAGTTACGTGATCTTTCTGGCTGGGCTGTGGGGCAGAAGTGTATAAATCACAAGAGTGACTGAACATTTTTGGCAGGTAGCAATGTGTACCTAGTTGCAATTAATAAATCATAATGAATTATCTGCTCCATGGGGAGAACTCAGATCAGTCCTATTAACCCACTGATCCTAGCTTCTGGGCGCTTCAAAAGAAACTGGATTTTTCAAAAAGCCTGGGGAATGAGGTCTGTCTATTCTAAGTTAAACCCCATTCTGAAAAATAAACAAATAAGCTTTAAGTACCTTAACAAGATTATGTTATATTATATTATGTAACATCATTATATTATAATAAGTATGTACTGTATATATTGTGTCCCTTAAATACTGCACCCTCCTCTATGCCAACAAATACATGTAAACAGAGACCTCTCTTTTAATGCAATATTAAAGAGAATGTATTGGCTTTCTTCAGTTAGCTGGTTGAAGGTTGAAGACATCTTGTATTTAGTCATGTGTCTGATTTGTCTACCCTATACTCTGGCTTGCCTTTGGGATGGGTCCCCATTTGAACACCCAAGGCCCTCAGTGGATGCAACTTTGTATATTAATAAGTATATATATATATATATTTTCTTAGAGCTGTTGAATGGATGTTGGCTAAAGGAAAATAAATAGTGGAATCGTATGCAATGAGGGGCTCTGAAAATCATATACTGTATATATGACATTTTTCTTTTAAAAGTAACCTTGCCACAAGTGTGAACAGTTCAAACAGAGATGATGATGTTAAATGCATAGGCAAAGGTGACCTTCAGTGAAAACCATATATCCAGGTTAGTGACAGTTTATTTTAAAGTCTCTCATTATTTCTTGTGTTATTCTGCGAGGTAGGTAAAATAGCATTGATAAATCTCAAAATCTATTTTAGGTGCCCTTTGAAAAAGTAAAATGCATCCTTTTCTCAGGATAACTTTTTATACCTGGACTCTAACAGCACCATGTAAGGCTATGATGAAATGTTCAGGGCTGTTAAAGTAGCAGATGATGTAATAAAAAACGTAATTCTGTTTGTAAAGGCATTTTAATGCCTTGCATGCTTCTCTGCTAATTAAAGGGTCTATGTCACAAAATGCAATTTCCACTTATATCATAGTTGAATTCCCAGTTTTTATGTGTCGTTATTGTGAGTAAAAGTACAGTTTTACATTTGTATAGTATGCAGCATGCAATAACTTGCTCAGACTAATTAGTAATAAAGCATATGGAGGACGACTACCAGGGTGTTAGTCTAATTAACAAAATTAATCAGCAGACTACTGAAATTGTTGGTTAAAGTTGTCCATACTATGACTTCATCTAGTGATAACATCCATTTATTGGTGAAGAAAAATTAATGCTTCATTTATAAACCAAAGTTTTAATATCCACTAGTTATCTAATTCCTTCCCTTGTAGAAGATGTAACTGAGATTCCTTACAGTAGGAGCATGAAAAACAAGTGGAACAATGAAAGCAACATATAGCAATATGTATGTCAGTTGTATTAGGTATAGACTGTATGGGAGGGAAAACAGCAGGCAAAGAACATTAGTCCTACAGTCAGATTATTACAGCCATTGGCATACTTAGAATATCTGGCACCTGGGGTTTATCATGTTTTTAACCCCCCCACCCCCCAAAAAAAGAGGGTATAAACAGTATATTTATATTAAACATATATA